TTTCTATTGTAGTCACATAACTGTACCCCTCAAAAGACTCAGTGCTGTTAGAAATACATATAATGATGAACTAAATCGACCATGTAAATAATGTCCCCAAACAACACATTACCATACAACCACTGCTACAGGGGTTAAAATCAGATTTTTACATAAATGAAACCCAGAGAAGATTGTTAAAATACAAATGTATTTTAGCTACGCGGACGGCTTTGAATATGATACAGATAACATACAAATAACTCATTTGTCCATCGACATTTACAACTGGAAACTCTTGCTGTTCTTGATCTAATCATCCAGTCAAAGAGTCGTAAAAAAAAACTTTCTGGTTCAAATAACCTAGAAAATTTGAATAAATATTGTTGTCCTGTACAACATCTATACTACAAAAACCATAGAAAATTCTGGTATATCGAAAACGTTTGTTTAAAGTATTTCATATCATCTCCCGATCAATGATCTCAAACGGAAGGATACGTTAAAAATTTTACAATACATCTAATGCCAGCATTCGAACATTCAAGGGGAGAGTTTGTCATGTTGATCAAAAAAACATTACATAAAACCGTCATAAATTTCGAAAATTCACAAGGATTCTCTATGTTGTGGTGCAAGATCTATCACCAATTTGTATGATTTTAGGTCAAAGTTAACAACACATTTTTCCTGCTAATTTTTTTCTGTTCATACCTAATGAAACTATTACTTCCCTAACTTATAAAATGCAGAAAAACATCATATAAAACCATCAGACATATTGAAAATCCACAAGGATTCTCTATGTTGTGGTGCAAGATCCATTACTAATTTGTAAGATATGTGGTCAAAGTTTACAACACATTTTTCCTGCTAAGTTTTTTCTGTCTACACTTCATAGTACTCTTTTTGCTTAAACAAACATAATTTAGTAAAACGTCGTCCGCAATTTTTATACATTTTACTGCAAGAAATTGTACTACATAGGTAATAAATACATTGAGAAAGTCAATTATATTAGTCAATCATGTAGACGATGTCCCCATACAACACCTCACGTTAGAATCGCTGCTCCAAAATGAACGAAAAATGCTTTTCATAGAATTGGAGTAGAAATAAAACTTTACTTTTCGAAGTAATCAAATTCAACAACATAAAGTATTGAAGCATAAGAAACTTTCGGAAGCTACAAAGATCAACTATGTTGCGTCTGACAATCTGCTACCCATCTGTGAGATTTTATGTTAAAGTTTAAAACATATTTTTGCTGATAATTTTATTTGCTTTCAAATTGATTCAACTTTTTTTGTTTGATCTAATTGAGTTCAGTAAAACCTTATATACAAGCATAAGAAATCCCAAAAAACTGTGCAGATTTGCTATATTGCTTTCAATTATCTATTACCTATTCCTACGATTTTAGGTCAATGTTCAAGATACATTTTGCCTTCCAATTTTTTTCTTTCCATAATTGATCGAACTTATATTTCTCGAACTAATATATTTCAGTACAACATTATATAAAAGCAAAAGAAATCTCCAAAAACTACACAGATTTTGTATGTTGCTTCCAATAATATATCACCTTTTCCTACGATTTTAGGTCTAGGTTTATAACACATTTTGATTGCTAATTTCTTTCTGTTTGAAATTGTTACCCGAATACTTCATCATGAATATTGTCATTTTATATTATTATAGTTATTTTATATTCCCTTTTTTTATTCTTTTCTACGCTTTTCTCTGTATAGGATTTACAATTTCATCAGTTTATTTATTACTGAAAACGTTGATTGAGATTCTTAACTCTAATTCAATGGGCCTAAGCTGAACAAATTCGCTCAAGTTTATTTAAGTTCTCAGTTACTATAGTTATAAATTATAATTCTGGATTAATATACATAAATAATCTTTAATGTATTCCTGATTAATTTTCTTTGGGTGAACAGTTATTATCAATTCTTAATTATCCTCATTATTCCAGAAATACTTCAATTTCAAATCTGCTGTTTCATGTATTGCTTAATTGAATAGAGGGCAGCAGTTCAACTCTGTAAATCATTACCCAATCAAAATGTCAAATGGCTATTGGCGCAGCGTTCGTTATACGTTTGACTCCAAAAAGCGTGGCAAATGACTGTCTAGTCGCTAGTCAGTGTGTATTTCTTTTTCTAGTCAGTTCGTCAACCAATTTTAGTGCAATTGTTTAAAAAGTTTATTATAGAATTTATTCTTGTAGTCATGTTTTCTTTAATTCGTTATGACAACGGTGAATATTCTATTTTACTCTCTAAAAGAGTGAAAAATATCCAAGGAAACAGGTGTATTGTAAAAAGCAGTAATGGTGCATACTATCATGCTATAATAATTAAGTCGTCAGGTACGTTGATATTTCTTTTTTAATTATCATGGTTTAAATATATTGATAAACTAATTCTGTGTGTAGATTCAAAAGATGATTTGATTAAATTGAAAGAAGATATTGCTTGTGATATTAAAATAAATCTTATGCGTTTATCAAATTCTCATTACTTTAGTCCTCAAGAAATAAGAAGTAAAAGAGAAATTTTAGAAAAAGGTATAACTTTTCTTTTCAAAACTTAATTATTCAACTATATTTAACTTGCTTATTGTTGAATTAATATAGATAGTTATTTATGACTTTTTAACTGATTTAAACTATTTTGACAGACAAGTCTGAACCAAACCTAGAGAGTGATGATGAGCAATGTACAAATACAGCAGTGAATAATTGTATAGTGCCTGATAAATCAGTATTGGATGAACAAGTGTACCATGATAAAGATGTGAATGGAAATGTAATTTCTAATGGTAAGATTGCTCGATTTTATTATTGATGAAACAGATTTTTTATCTAAAAAAATAAATTTTTAAATAAATCTGCATCAATGTGCAAGTGTCTACGATTTATATAGTAAATTTATTCGAATATTTCGTAATCATATATTATTTTAATATCTATCAATGTCAAATAAAATATATTTATAACAATATTGTAAGTGTTGATACAGAATCTCATCATTCATTAGAAAAGGTTACTCATTAATTTATTAAATTATCGATAAAAGATATTTAAGTTCAGTATATTATGGAAAATGCATGTATCAACGATTCTAATGAAGTGGTTAATTATATAGCATTGAAATCTTTGCACATTGTGTATGATTGATAATTTTCATAACATCAATAGAGATTTTTATGTCAAACCTTGCTTGTAGAAATTTGATAAGAATACTATAATAGTATAATATCTTGCCTTGAACCACAATTAAATTTTAAAATAGAAATCAGTAATAGCAGTTCAATAAGCACTACTAGCTTATTATTATCTTACTTAGATTTTTTCCTACTCTTTGAATTTTTCATGACATTAACTATTTTGACAGATAAATCTAAATCTGACCACGAAGGTAGTGATAACAAATATACAAAGACATCAGTGGATACTGCTGAAATATATGAAACATCTACTCATATAAGTGGAAGTGATGGTGGTAGTAAAAATGTCGATGCTATTAATTTCGGTAAGTCTTAAAATTTTTTTTCAGCGGCAAAATTTTTTTTGACGCCTTTTATTGACTTCAGCTATTGTTTCATTGCACAATTTTTAATATTATGATATTGGAAAAAATGCATGCATGTTTCGAATTAAGTCAACACTTTTTTTAGCATTATTGATAATTATTTTTTACAATTTTTCATCTCAAACAATTAACATGAATAAAACTTACGATATTTTGTATTTTATTTTGCATATCGCGGATAAATAATGTATTTGTTACACTATGGAATACTATTGATCAACGTAACAAGTTACAATTATTTCATTTCAATTATTATTGCAATTTCTATATTGTTTTTTCAGAAACTACTTAGACAATGATATTAGTTTATATCAGAATACACTGCTTTCTCCGTTGTTTTTATTTGTTGTTCAAAGAATCTATTATTTCATTTGAATATTAATTTAATTCCATTCACATTTAATTCGATTGTGTATATCTTGACATTTCTAATCCTTTGTTAATTATTATTGTTTCTACCACTTAGTAGTCTGTAAACGATTCTTTTCATATTAATTTTTTTCTTAATGACTATCATATTTTGTTTTATTATTTGTTTACAGATCTCGATGATACTCCACCATTGATTATTGATGAGTCTGTAATCTCACAAAATGCTGAACACATCCATGATGTTGATATTTCTAACTCGATGAGAAAATCTAAACCGTTGATAATAGATGTTATGTTGTCGTCAATAAATATATGTGGTTCTTCAACTCCTATTAACAGCTCGATGAGAATTTCTGACTGTAATATCTCTAAAATATCTGTGCCCAATATATCACCTTTTTCATTTGCAAAAAATTATCCAATGCTTACTTTACCTTTTGATATTTCTGAGATCATAAAAAATAAAAATATTAATGTTACTAATAGTTATGTTAACAATAGCTTCGAGGGCATGGAAACTGATAATGTTGATATGCAAGAGTTCTGTGATAATGTCCCTGTCACCACTGAAAAAAACATCGGAAAAGGAAACGATATGGTTGAAGTAGCCAGTGATAATAAAGAAAATTATGTCACATCTAATCAATCTAACATATCAATAGATAATACAAAATCTACTGAAAAATCATCATTCAATGGAGTAGCCAGTGATAATGAAAAAGATGATATCACATATAATCCGTCTAACAGTTCAAAAGATGATACAAAATCCACTGAAAAGTGATCATTAAATAACAAGTCTTCTTCTTTCGAAAGTGGCTGTCCAATTGATTCTCGAAAAATCACTGTACCAAAATCTTGTGATAATTCCAAAAAAGGAAAGAAGAAGAGGGAGAAAGGTGTGAAAATATCCAAATCACATTTTTGTAAGTTTTGTAAAACCTTACAAACAAAGTTCGGTCGACATCTTGTATTAAAACGTAAAGACAAAAAAGAAGTCCAGGAATTTATGTATTTGGAAAAAAAAGTAGAAAGCGAAGAGAAATGATTGCTTCGATACGAAAGGAGGGTGATTATTTACATAACACTCAACTGGAACTGAATTCAGGCGTTTTGTTACTACCACGTCAACAACAGAAAAAATCAAATAATTCTGCTGATGATTACATTCCATGTTCAAAATGTAAACTATTTTTATCAAAATCATCAATTCGATTTCATGTTCAACATTGTGATTCAAATCGAAAAAAAGGAGTTCGAGATGTTCTCTCAAATGGTAGAAGATTATGCACCTATATTCATTCTTCTGCTTCTGACATATTACGAAAAAAAGTTTTTCCAGTTTTAACTGATGATGCAGTTGTTCGATGCATTAAATATGATGAGCTTGCAATTAATTTTGGAAATAAATTATGTAATAAATACACCTTAACACATCAACATGATCTCATCAGAGCACAGCTTCGTCTATTGGGCCGATTAAAAATTGAATTAATGTTAGTCGATAAAACTCTTGAAGAGTTAAAACAGGCATTTAAACCACAACAGTTTGAAAATATGATAGAGTGTATTAAAAAAGTTGCATCATGGAATACTGAAATAATGTGGTATGACCATCCAAGTGTGGTACAAAATTTGACTATGCTCGTGAAAAAATGTGCTAATACACTTCGAGTAGAGTACATAAAAGTTAATGACACCGAGAAAAAAAATGAAGTTGAAAATTTTCTTCTACTGTGGAATGAAGAAGTTCCAACACTTGTTAACAAGAAAGCTATAGAAGACCAAATTACTCAGAAGCGTATGAAGAAAGTAATTTTATCATCTAAATCAGATATTAAACTATTGTATGATTATTTGAGAGATGAATGTATGACTTGCATAGAGTTATTGAATGACGGCTTTGATAGAAATGCATGGGTTTCGTTAAGCCAATACTCATTAATACTTCTGCAAATATTCAATAGAAGACGTGCAGGTGAGATCGAAAGGCTCACTTTAAGTGATTATCAAAACCAAGAAGCCCTCAATGAAAGTGTTGATCCGGAAATCTATAAAAAGTTATCTCATTCAACAAAAGCATATGCGTCTCAGTTTATTCGTATTTCTTTAAGGGGAAAACTAGGACGAACAGTTTCGGTGTTGCTAAGCCCAATTCTCGTCAAATGTATTGAACTTTTATTGAAACACCGGGTGCAAGCTGGTATTAAATCAGAAAATCAATATATTTTTACCAAGTTATACATATCAAAACTCGGTAAACCATATATAAGAGCGTGTCCGTTATTAAAACGTTTCGCTAATGAATGTGGTGCAGCTGTGCCAAGTTCTTTGAGAGGTACAACTTTAAGAAAGCACATAGTAACATATACGGCGATGTTGAATGTAGAAGAAAACCGAGTCGATAATCTAGCAAATTTCATGGGTCACCATAAAGACATTCATAAGAGTGTATATCGAGTTCCTATTCCAGTAGCAGAGATTACAGATGTTTCGAAATTACTCATAGCTGCAATTGGAGATGATGATGAGTATGAACAAGATGATGGGGTGAGTGATGAAGAAAATAGTGATAGTAGTGATGAAGAAAATCAACAGAATATTGAAGTATTTCCCTGTACCAGTAGAAATTCAAAAGATAGTTTGAATTCACCAGAAGTCAAACGACGTAAAATTTCATCTAATAAAACGATAAGTAAGTATTAAAATTGAAAAGGTACTAATTGAAATTCATTCATTTTTATTTGCAAAAGTGTAATGGAATTCTTTCGAATACGCATATTAGGATTATTATTAAAGTTAAATCTATGAATTTTATTTAATAACAGAATCTAAATGATCAGTATAAAAACATCTACATGTGATAGAAAATTTCACTTCTTGAAAGATTCATTATTTTCAAGATTTTATTAAACGATTTATAATGTTTTTCTGTAATTGAAGAAAATCCTAATGCGACAAGAACTAAATTTAAAATTTGACGAATAATGAATAATTTTTCTTTCAGCGGCGTCATGCAGTACAACAAAATATCATAAATGGTCAGAAAAAGAAAAGAAAGTGGTTGAAAACTATTTTGGAAAATGTCTATAAATTGACAGATTTACCAAGTTTGAAGGAATGCAGAGACTGCATTAATGAAAATATAGCAATATTAAAACACAGAACAGCTGAATCATTGAAAACCTGGATTGATAATCAAAGACGTGCTCAGAAACGCAAAGCGGAATATGCATCGTCCAAAAAAAAGAGTACTTATACGAAATAATACTTTTTATTTTTTACATCTTATAATATTCTTTGAATGAGAAGAAGCAATACGATTTTTTGTATTCGCAAATATAACAATGTTGACTTTGAGGTTCAAAATGTTTGATTGTTTTCGATTAACAAAAACAGTTTTATTTTCAAAAAAAGTATTCACAATTATAAGTCTATAAATTTTAAGCAATTCTGTTCAGTAATCTATAATTTATATGAGAAAGTAAAATTTACTCTACTGTAAAAACTACAAATTTATAAGCGTTACATGGAAAATGTACAAGTTAATTGAATTTTTTATATGAATGCATAAAATGATACATTTCTATTTTTATATGTTAAATATGTATTTTGGAAGTTTATAATAAAGACAATTATCTATAATCAAGAGTTCTTTAATGTTAATTGTATAATTACGAATTATCGGTTTTATGTCAAAAGAAGATATTTTACAGAAAAACTCACACAAAAAAATGCAGTAAGAAACAAATATAAATAGAGTTTTCATTAGGCTATTTTCATAAGATGTCATCTCATCTAAAAATTAATATAGTGTTCATCATGCAATTTTCACAAGATGTTCTCAAACTATGCAAAAGATTACTTATAAATTACAAGAATTCGTCATAATACCCGTTAAAGCAGACGTGCATTCGTAAATAATTAGAATACCAACTGAATAAACCTAAATTATTGAGTTGCGAATTCTATACAGGATGACAAAATCTCAGCAGTCGTAGTTTTAGAATGAGAAATCATTTGTAGCTCAGTGTCCTCATACTAAACTTAGATATGATTACTCAGGAAGTCAATCATGCTCAGAAAATTAATGACTAATTTCAATAGTTTGTACAGCACTGATTTCTATGATCTAAATTGGTAAAACTAGAGTAAATACCTTCAGAGAATTCAGGAGAAAATGAATTTAAACACAGTTGTTATCAAGCAATTTTTATAAGATGTCCTCAAACTATGATCACAATTTGTTATAAATAAATACAATTAAACACGATAATCGTTGATGCAGACGTACAGTCGCGACTAATTCTAATCCTGACTGGAGACACCTCAATTATTTAGTTCTAAATTCCATACAAGATAGCAAAATACCAACAGTTCTATTGAAAAATTAAATAATTTTTTCATCTTCAGTGTCCTCATTCTACACTTTACATTAATATATTTTGGGATAAATGATATAAAACCTGTTCATCTCCATTAACATCAGGTCGAAGAATACTAATTTCTATGATTAGGATCAATGGGAAGGATACACTATATTAAAGAAATGTGGTAGAAGGTTCATGTGATTAAAATTCTAATTACAAGATTCTCGTGGAGTGTCCTCAAACTATACGCACAATTTGCCGTAAGTACATACAATAATTCACTCTCATACAGACTCTAAACAGCAACATAACAAAATTTTAATTATCAGTGTGGAAGATGACAATATCGTTTTTAGCTTGCTGTCCTCATGATATACTTTTAACTGATATTCCACTACGTATTGGGCCCCCGGGGTTGCATAGATGTCTCTGCTCTTAAGATATGTCGCGCAACAACGGGGGCAGATTAGACTATAATCCGTCGTACCCCACTTTCGTACTGCCCTATATGGCAGTCTGAATGGGGGTACGTCGAACACGCCGAGCGCGTTAGCGACCGCCGACCAAAGCGGAGAAAGTTGGTACTACGGGAGGCCAAATTCCAAGCCCTGTGCCTGGGGCTGCAAAGTCAAAATATGACATGTAGGCCCAGGTACAACTGGCCAATTGAGGTCGGACTCGTAGTGGTATGTCGTAAGGCCTCGGGCTTGTTACGTGTATCCCTGTGCCTGTTCTAGGTGCAGGTATATGCGTCCCGGAAAATGCCATCGCTAAGATAGTAGTGTATTATAATGTCCCAGAGTTATGCCCAAAGGGGCGAGGTACTCATTACCGTCCTTCGGACGGGGGGAAGCATGGCATTGGCATTCCACTACGTATGAAATATTAGAAATACTTTTAGTCAGTTACGGAAGTCTGTATGGTGCTGATTTCTATTTTTTGGATGGGTAGCAATAGCATGCATACCTCCAGAGAACTCAGTACAAGATGGATAAAAATTCAGTAATCATCGTCAAACTATCATGAGATGTCCCTAAACTATACGCACGATTCACTATAAATACATACAATATGACAAAACACACGTTGGGGTGGATGTAAGTCCGTAAACGGTAAGAATACTTATTTAAACTCCATAATACACTTTCATAAAGATTTTATACAAGGTGATAAAATATCGATAATCGTATTGTCAGATTAATTTTACATTTTACGCCTAGGGTGGGAAAGTAGTCTATCTTGAACCACGTGTTAAACACATGGCTAAGCTAATCCAATTGTCCTTCTTAGGGCTGAATATAATTTTTCGTTATACCTGAGTGGAAAGTTTAACTTCTCTCTAATAGAAAGGTGAACTTTCTGCCCAGGTATGACGATAACGAGTTTTTTATCGTTATTGTCTTTGAGCAACATGAGAGATGGCTCACGGATTTTTTTGAACTTCTCGACTTTTTCGATCGCGAGCATATCAAACTGTAATTTTTTATCTAACGACAATATGATTATTGTATTTCTTTTATAAGAACATTTACTACTATGTTTTCGATTGTTTTCTCAGATGTCTCCAATGTTTACTTTATGTCTCTGATCAGAGTGCTGTTCTAGCGTCTACTTCGAGGACATGTAATGTATCAAGGTTTTTCGGGACATGTCCTTAAATTAATCATTTCTTTTGAATGTCCTTAAAATTCACGTTGCTCCGTAGAAGTCCTTCTCTTGATGTCTTTTCACGTCTAAATCATTTTTTTGGGGTTGCATTGATGTTGTTGTTGTTTTCTGCACTTATTTCCGCTGTTAAATTAGAGTGTCTCAAACTATACGCTAGGCATACATATAATTATATTTTCTATAGAAAAATATTAACATCAATTTTTTAAGCTTGGCGAATAATGATTTGAGTAATTTTTTTAGTTTTTAAACGTCAAAATATTTTGGAACTGTTGAATATAGTGTATAATATCAGAATTCCACTTGATTTATGCTTGGCGCACATTTTTGTACAGCCCTATGGATGTTTTCGGATGTGATTTTCGGAATTTTTGTACCGTAATTAAGGACATATCTACTATCTGTACTCTGTAATAAAACGATCGAAAAATCTCGTTTGTAAAAATTTGTTCAACGTATTACTTTCAGAACCGTATCAATAACGGTAGTCTTATTTATTTTTCATGCACTGTAAGAAGAACATATGGGCATTCTTTGCCAGAGTTGGCCAGCGCGTTTCGACAATTTTCGAATCATCAATATATACCCAATTTGATTTTCTATCGGAAATAATACTAGTGTAACTGTTCGTATTAATATCAAAAAATATTGCATTTATTACTTTGTACGTGGTGCTGCACAAACATACTCGAGATGTAGGAACTGATTTAATCTTCACAGACTGTTTATCATTAATATTGACAGATGATAATTTTAAAATTAAATGTTTGGGAGCACTTTGTATTTCCTGTTTGAATATTGCTTCAACAGTATTTTTACAACTAATGCATTGATATTTATCGATAAGTTTCCAATGCGAAAAAGATTTACTAATAATATCCTCTAAATTACATACTTTTTTGGAGTTAGATACCTCCAATGATAATATACATTTATTTTCAATTCGATTATTAATATACTTACATACTTTGCATTTCCAAATATGTATAATTTATTTGATATTCTACTAAGTTTCTCAAATTTCCATCTTTTTTACACAGATATTTAAAGAAATCATATGGTTTATGTTTATTTTCAGTAAAGTAAGTAGGTTCATTTATCATTTCTTTAATAATTTGAGAACTTATAATTATCGCATTATTCCGATAAATTTTTATCATATCATAAATTATACCTTCAGTTATATTATTCGGATAAATATGGAAAATGCATTATAATGTTGCATTTATGTAACTTGACATATCATCAGAGTTTTTAATTTTACGTATTTCAAGTTTTTCTTGTAAACGATTTATTTTTTCCATATGATTATTCTCATCTTGTATATTGAAAGAATCAATAAACCATATGCGATCAGAAACTTTTTGATAACGTTTATCAGGTGTCTCTATAACTGATAGATCAGGTCTGTATATCTTTCTTAGTCGATTATACTCTTTAATTGCTAATATATTTGCATTAGCTGTGTATGGATCTAAATTTATTAAATGTAGTCCATCTAATGTTTTAACTCGCGATAATGCAACATAACTTTGACCAGGTGTAAAAATAGTGTTTCCTGCATCTACGATTATATTATTTAAGCTTAAACCTTGGCTTTTATGAATAGTTATAGCATAACTAAGACGTATTGGAAACTGCTTTCGTATAATAAATGCTCGATCCATGATTTGAAACTTTACATTCATTCTCTCTATTGCATATTCCTTATCTTCAGCAAAACTTACACAGATAGATTGCACATCAAGTTCATTTCCTCCATAAAAAACCGATTTAACAACACCGATTGTACCATTAACAAGTCCAAGAGTAACATCAATGTTGCGTCTTAACATGATTTTAGCCCCTATCTTTATTTTTATAATTTTTGCAAGCCCAGCTGTATCATTAGTCTTTTCTTCAAGTTTATCTAGTAGTTTTGTAGCTTTCTTATGAAGATTTTTTGGGCAGTCGAAATCGTCTTGAGCAATTAAAACTATTTCTTTAGAAGGTATTTTTTCGATCATCACAGAATTAATATGGTCGCATTGTTTGCAAGTAGGAAATAAACAAACTATATCATTCGGTAAACTATTTATGTAATCACATAATTTGGATGTTCTTTCGTTAAGTGGCACTGATTCGAAGTCGATGGTAATTATTCCAGTTCGTAATAATTTTATGTCATCAGAAGTCATTGTTCCTACTCGTGAACGAGATAATAGTTCAGCGTATGAATTGTCTTCTTTCT